TCCATTTTACCCAGGTGTATTTCTTCTGGTGTCTTTCTGAAAGAGTTAGTCTTTATAGTGAAGTGATACATGCATTCCCCCCTCTCCCTTTTTTTTGGAACCGAGGATGGAAATCAGGTCCTTGTGCTTGTGAGGCAGGCAGCAGAACCACTGAGCTAAATCCCTGGCCCTGCATTCCCATTTTTGTTGTAGCACTATTTACATTAGGCACATTGTGGTAGTAGCCCATAAATGGTTGAATGGACTAAACACACACACACACACACACACACACACACACACACACACCCTCACCATAAAGAATGATAAATTGAGTCATTTGTAGAAAAATGGATGGATCTTGAGATCATAATACTAATGAAATAAATCTGACAGAGAAGGTTAAACATCATATGATTTCTCTAATATGAAACACCCATACAAAACATAACTTGAAGAGCACAATAAAAGAGAGAAGATAGGAAACAGGGCATTATGTAATCTGTAGGGATTGTAATGAGGGGAAGTGAGGGCACAGCAGGGAAAACAGAATGAAAATTATCAGAAAATGATATGTACATATATCAATTCTCCAAGATGAATATAATTATTATGTTTAATAAACATTTACTAATAAACATGAAAAAGAAATACTACCAAGACAGTCTCAAGAATGGGAGAAAATGCTTGCAAATATGGTTTTCAGAAGATACATAATGAACTCTTACTTTCAGAGTAAATTTAATGTTATTAGCCAGCTGTAGAAAAACTTAATCACTAGCCACGTTTCAAATGTATTTTGAGTAGATTGTTAATTTAATTTTTAAATATAGAATATGGTATCTTAATCAGGAAATCAATGACATATATATGGTCTTCAGACAGGAAAAGATTCCTTAAAGGGAATAAATGAAATTTAATACATTTTGGTGAAATAACAAGTGAGTTATAGTAAAATTAAGAAATTCTCATCATAAGATGCAGCAAGAGGGAGAGATAGATGTACCAAGAGCACACAGAGAGACACAGACAGTTAATGAGAGTGTATATATCATGTAAAGAAAATGAAATCAGTGTCTCAGACAGAATTTTATACTCCCAAGTGCATTAGCATCATTCTTTTGTTTTTTTAAATACAAGCATGCAGAAGCACTTCTTTATGCAGACCCCACAATGCTTTGAACATTGGAGGTTGTTTAATGAATAAACCCTGTGTTTACATGGGATGCCTAACTTAAAAACAACCACAAAAGTAAAACCTTTTTACCTTTTTATCAGTGCATATCAGTAATATAAAAAATGAGATTTGTTTTGGTATAGTATTACATGCATATAACATAGTTTGATCATTTTAATCCACATTACTCTTCTTTCCTCCACTATCCCTCTGATCCCCTTTATATATAATAAATGCTCACAACTCAGTCAGAAAAAGACAAGAGAACCTCTTTAAAAGTGGGTAAAATAGCATAGTAAACATTTGCCAAAGACTATTTACAAAAGTCTGATAATTACACAGATATGTAGTAGGGTGTACAATTTAGTAATACATTGCTTGCCTAGCATGTACAAGGCCCTCAGTTTCCTTCTTAGCACTGTAAAAGTGAAATAGAAGAAAGAAGAAAATATATAACATAATTCAAATCATTGAATTGAATTTTAAAATATAATTCAAACCTTAGGAAGCACTTCACTTCCAGTGGGTTGGTTATAATCGATAGATAATAGTATTGGTGAAATTGTGGAGAATTTGGAACATTCTTTAATAGCTTTTGGAAATGTATACCCATATGCCCATTTTTAAATCATAGTTTAGTAGTTACTCAGAAAGTTACACACAGACTTAACATTTACCTGGCAATTACACTTCTAGTTATATGCTAATACAAAAATCATACCAAGTATAATATATGAATATTCATGCCACCATTAGTCATAAAATCCAAAAAGAATTCACTGAAATGTACCTCAACTGAATTCATAAAGAAAATGTGGGTATACCCATTGAGTTGAATATTGAGTCACAGAAGGAATGCTACACTGATAAATATTAGTTTAGATGAGCCTGGAACATGTTGTACGTACAAGAAGCCAGTCACAAAAGGATATAATGCATGAATCTGATTATATGAAAATTCTAGAATAGGAAAATCCATGAAGATAGAGAGTAGAATGGCTTCTTGAAAGTGTTAATATGAATGAATGGGGACTGCTTGCTACATGTATGGGATTTCATTTTGGAGTGAGGGAAACATTCTGTAATTTGATAGCAGGTATAATTAAACAGCTTTGAGAAGATACTAAAAACCATTGAATTGTATAAGGGGGCAAATTTTATAATGTAAATTATCTCATTGTTTTTCCTTAAAAATAAAAGTGTTTGAAAATTGGCTCACAACACTTTTAACTGTTCCTGGAGAAAGCAGTAAGGTTCTTTGGCTCCCATGCTGTCCTCAAAAAATTGACACTTTAATTTGATTTTGCAGCTGGAGGAACAGTTTGCCCTACTGATGTTTTGTTCAAAAATCTCCGCCTCTTGTGATTTGGTATCTTAGTCAGGGATAGCGTTGTCTCAAAGCAGAACAGATCAGTGCTATAACCAAGTAGCTCATTGTCACAGCCAAGTGCCACAGCTCTGAGGTACAGCTAAATATTGCAGCTCTGGGGTGCAGCTATTGCAATTTGAAGAATTAAGACTCCGATGTTCACTCAGCCAGGTGGAGAAAAATCTTTATTATGCCAGCAGGCGCAGAAGAATTCCAGCTCTGAAGTCTGAGGGCTCTATCAGAAATGAGAGCCTCCTTATATAGGGATGAACAGGGTAGATAAGAATGCTCACTGAAGCAGAGGGGTGGGGTTACAGAACATTTCTGAAAGGGATAGTGGGTGGGCATGCTCACAAGGACAGAGGGGTGGAGTTACAGAACATTCCTGAGAGGGGTGGAGCCAACAATATTCCTGAGAGTGGCAGAGCTAACAGAACATTTCTGAGAGGGGTGGAGCTAACAATATTCCTGAGAGGGCACGAAGTTCAAACAGTTACAAAACATTTTGATACATTTGTCAGGAGCAGCAGCACACACTGGTACATATCTAGAATAAAACCTTCTGTGGGGGAAAAAACATGGAGGCAAGGCAAGGGCCTGTCTTATTGTATAGTATTTCTTTATCAGTAGGGCAGTGGAAATATTTAAGTTTAATTCACAAGGTATCCCAGTTACTTAGATAGAGATCATGGGAGTGTTATTCCTGCCATTATCATCTGGGATATATTTAACTACCTGAAAGAGTTAGGTAGTTCTGTACATTATTTGACCTTGAATAAGTTTGTTTAATTTATTTTAATCTTAATTTTCTTCATGTTATTTGTTTGATTATGAAGAATAAAGGAGATAAAACATTTTAAGTATTTGAGAGATGGGGGTGGAAGGGAGCGGAAGTAAATAAAACTAAGATGTGTTATACATATGTACCAAATCCTCAAGAAAAATATAATTATTATGTACAGCAAACATATAATAAAAATAACACATTTGTATTGCAGTGTTTGTCCGGATATAAGCATCAGTTAATTTTTTTCCCTTCTTTTGTCTTTCTGTTAGAAAGCTCTACTAAAAAGTGTATATATGTATATATATATGTATTACATTTTCCCAGTTCTGATGATTAGATGCAGGCCTATTTTCCCCAGCCCTTTTTATTTTCTGTTTTTGAGACAGGGTCTCACAGAGTTGCTCGGGCTGGGCTTGAACTTGAGATCCTCCTTCCTTGCCCTCCCAGAGTAATAAGATTACAGGTGCGTACCACCATGTCTGATAAAAGTATGCTTCCTACAGGTTAGAGTTCACTGTGCTCTAAATTAGCTTCCAGTTCAGCAATAAATTGAGTGTAGCAATAAACTACAGGTGAGGAGTTTCTTCTCTTTTTATTCGTGTGTTCCCTTGCTGTGTTTCCTGATACCTGGTATTGATGCTCATTGAGTTCGGATTTCCTGTCAGACCGCACAAGATGTTTTCATGGACTACACAGACTGGTACTTAGAGGGCTGTAAAATGTCAGCAACAGCCTGTGACAAATGAGCATTGTTAATGTTACTTTGGAGACTGTGTGAGTTCCACTTGTGCTGAGCAGCAGAGAACTTCATTAAATTTTGTACCTAAAAGAGTTAATACTGATTCTTTCATCCCCCATAAATCTTTTCAGCTCTTGCTTTCCACCTAAACCTTCCAGGATTGTTTTCTACCTTCTTTAGACCCCAGCTTTTAATATGAAATTCTTAAGTGATACCAAAGAGTTCATTCAGAGACAGTCCCATGTTCTTGTTGCACTGGCAATGCTTGATTTATTACTAGGCAGTCGGAGTGCATTGCAGATTAACCTTTCCATGTTGTATTTAGCTTTGTTTTATATTCCTTGTTTTAAAAATTGAATGAGCTGGGCATATTGATGCAGGCCTGTAATCCCAGCCCTCAAGAGGCTGAAACAGGAGGATCACTGTGAGTTGGAGTCCAGCATGGGCTACATACTGAGTTCAAGGCCAGCATGTACTCTATAGCAAGACCCTGCCTTAAAAACCCAACCAAACAGGTCTGGGGATTTATCTCAGTGGTATATGCCTGCCTTGCAAGCTCAAGGCTCTGTTTGATCTCCTGTACCAAAACAAACAAACTAACAAACTAAAAGTTGAATGAATGATTAATGCATGTAGAAAATGGTGGAAGGACAAAAAAAGGATTCTCCACAGAGGATCCTTTAAGTGTTAGTTTCTGTGTAGAAACTCTCAGAACCTTCAACTGTGCCAACAAAAACTGACCTTTCTGTAGGCAAAATGATTTGGGATTATATCTGAGGAGGTCAAAACTGCTGAGACCAATGTAAAAGACAATTGTCTAATTTTTTTCCTTCCTAGAAGCTAGAGAAATTACCCACATGAAACCAGAAGCTATCTCCTTCATCCTCATTTCCAAGTACACAGAATTAAAATGGCAGACTTTAATCTATGGTTTGTCTTCCACATCTAGGAGCGGAAAAAGAAATTTGAAAAGGATGGTGAGAAGTTTTATTCTCTATTGGACCGGCACTTGCATTTGTCATCTAAAAAGAAAGAATCTCAGTTACAAGAGGTATGTTCACAAGTCCTGCCTCCTGTTGCCAACTTAGCCTCAGAAATAGTGACACTTTCAGATTACAAGCCTTTCCCTATCAGTCTCAAGCAGGGAACCATGTGCCATCAGCACCTAATGAGAAAAAAAAAACAAAAAATTGTCGCCTGGAAATCAGACCCTCTAAGTTCTTAAGCCAGCATCCCCACTAATTGGATAAAGTACTTCATTTATGGCTTCAATTCCCCTGTGGGTAAGAGGAATAAACCTCTTTTCTTTATAAAATACCTAGCATAAAGTATTTTTTTCTTTTGTCTTTTTTTGGTGGGGGGGTTAAAACAGGGTCTCACTATGTTGTTGAGACTGACCTGGAATTCACTATGTAACCCAGGCTGGTCTCGAACTCACAGTGATCCTCCTGCCTCAGCCTCCTGAGTGCTGGGATTACAGGTGTGTGCCACCACACCCGGCTCTGAAGTATTTTCTTATAGCAACAGAAAATGGACTAGTACAAGATTATTGGAAACCATTTTGTCTAGTGTCATGCAGATTGGGCTCATCTCCTGATACCTGGATCAGTGGGTCTCCTTACATCACATAGGAAGTGCTTAGAAAGGTCTATCTGAGATTATCCCTTGACTGGTATCTGGGAACTTTACTGTTAAATAGTTCCCCACAGTGATATAAAAGTTGCCCTAAAAGATAAGAGTGGCTCACTGTGCAGAAACTACCTGTATGAACAATGTGCCTTACACAGAGTAGTGTAGCTTATTAGCTTATATTTCTTCAGAGAGCCTAGGATTTACATGCTAGGCCCCAAGAACAACTGAGAGTACTTGGTCTCTAATGAGCTTCCCTGGCAGATAGCATTTTTACCTGTATTTTTACTTAGCTCATCAGAGGAATAATCAAGTGTGTCCTGTGTGATACCGTGAAGAGATCTCTTGGAAGCTTATACCTAATTTCCTCTGCACTTTACCCCATGTACCTTTTCTTTGCTGATTTCTCTCTGTGTCCTTTCACTGAAGTAAATCTTAACTGTGACTATGACTATATGCTGAGTACTGTGAATTCCAATGAATTTCCAAGTCTGTAGTTGGTCTTAAGGAACCTGAACATAGTCCAAAGTTTTGGAAGCTTTTGTTATACAGCTTTCTGGAGGGTTCTAGCAGTCTGGTGTTGTCCTTATTGACTTTTCTGATAAGTTAACATGCAACCTTTACATGTTCATTTCAGAGTGCCATGGGGAGTATATGGTCAGGCATCTTTCTGATGAAGAAATTTCATTTTGAAGCAGTATTATGTTTATAAATGTCTACTAAGTTTAATGGGAAGTACAGAGGTAACGTCCTGGTTCCTGCACATACATTTTCCATTGCTGACATCTTGTATAGTACAGTACATTTGTTAACAATTGATGAGCCACTGTATTGTACAGTCCATGGGTTTTGCCAAATGTATAATGGCATGAATCTAGTATTATAGTATCATACTGAATGCTTTCACTGCCATAAAAATCCCTCTGCAGGGCCTAGTCATCTCTCCATCCCTCCCTTCTAATTTCTGGCAACCCTTGATAACTTTATCGACTTTTTTGTTTTTTGCCTTTTTCATAGTGTCATACAGTTGGAAGCATAAAGTATGTAGCTTTTCAGATAGGTTTTTTTTTTTTTTTTTTTTTTTTTTTTACTTGTTTTTTCTTGATTTGATAGCTTATTTCTTTTTAGGGCTGAATAGTACTCTATTGTCTGGATGTACTACACCGTTTCCTTACTCTTTCACCCATTGAAAGACATTTTAATTTCTTCTCAATTTTGCAGAGTGAATTAAATTGATAAATACTTACGGGCACATTTTTGTGGATATAGTTCTTGAAGTTATTTGTATAAATACTGAAGAGCACAATTGCTATGTTATATGGTAAAAGTACTTACTATTAATCTTGTAAGAATCTACTCTCTTCCAAAGTGGCTGCACTTTTTTTTTATCCTATCAGCAAGGAATGAGACTTTCTGTTGTGCCTCATTCTTGTCAACATTTTTGGATTTTAGCTATGTTAATAGCTGTGTAATTATATATGATTGCTGTTATAACTTGCAGTTCCTTGATGACATATAATGTTGCATAGTTTTTCTTGGGCTTAGTTGCCATCCAGATTATGTTCTCTGGTGTGGTTTCTGTTGAGATATTTTGCCTAGTTTTAATATTGTTGTTGTTTTCATATTGTTGTTTTTGAAGAGCTCTTTGTGCAATCTCGGATATGTTAAGTGCTAGTCCTGTATTAATAGGTTTTTGAAAGATTTTTCTCCAAGTATGTGGCTGTATTTTTATTCTCTAAATAGGGTCTTTTATAGAGCATAAGTTTTCAATTTAAATGAAGCCTAACATCAGTTTTTTTCTTTTATAGAGCATTTTTTAATGTATCTGTAAAGCATTGTCATATATAGCATAAGGCCACCTAGTTTTCCTCTTCCTGTATCTTGTAGAAATTTTATACTTTGGTTTTATGTTTGTCTATCATCTATTTTGAATTAATTTTTTAAATGTTTATTTTAATTAGTACATGTCTGTAGCATATAATGCTTACATTCCTTGTGTGGAGTTAGATGTACGTAACACATCTAATTTCTTTTTCATCCCCTTCTCTTCCCCCTTCTCTCAATCTCTTGGTCCTTTTCCCTATTACAAAAGATCTATCTCACTGTTTTCTAGTAACTGTCTCATATTTTAAATTAATTTTTTGTATTTAGATGTTTTAAAGATAAGAATATACAATTATTCTTGCACCGGTTGTGGAAAGTTTGCTTTTCTCTAACTGCTTTTGAGATTCTGTGCTTTTGTTGGATTTATTTTACCGTGATGTATCATGCTGGAGTTCTTTTCTCATCTTCACTATTTGGGGTTTTACATTCTCCACTTCTTTGTTTGTCCAGTATGGGTGTACTTACTCAAGTCAGGGAGGAGTGCTACATGTAAAGTTCCCGCCTGCTTGCTCTTGGGGTGGGCATGTCACTTGTCTGGTCTGGGCTTGATTGCTTATGTTTAATACCTTTTTCTGATCATGGCTATTTGGGCTTCTAAGTACCTCCCTTATTTGCATGTTAAAGTATTTTTCCTACTTGAAATGTTGTCTAGTATTTTCTAAACAGAATATTTTATACTAGTCTTGTTATCATCTGATTTTTCATTCATTGCATTTAATCTTATATTAGTCTTCTGTGCACTAATTGCTGTTGCATTCACTTTTAGTTGCTTTTGTTTGTTTGTTTGTTTTTTGGGTACCAAGGATTGAACTCGAGTCCTTGTGCTTGTGAGAAGGCAGGTGACAGAACCACTGAGCTAAATCCCTGGCCCCCTATTTACTTTTGTTAGGGTACCTCTAAGTATATGGTCACCTGCATCAGCCCTGCTTTCCAATTCTGATATTATTTTTTCACATTGGTTGCTACTGCTGTGTATGTTTCCAATAGAAGTGTTAATATTTTGCAGTACTGTTTCATGCCTTTTAACATACTCTAGTTATTTGCTAAACTGATCATTCATGTTTTATGTCATTTTGTCTTGCTCAGCTTGCTATTTATTTATTTATTTTTGGTACCGGGGATTGAACTTGGGGCCTTGTGCTTGCGAGACAGGCGGCAGAACCACTGAGCCAAACCCTGGCCCTCGGCTTGCGTTATGTAAGTTCACTGATCGTGTTGTTCAAGTCAGTGTTCTGTTTAGTTATACCTTTTTTGAGCTTATCAAGCATCTTCTTGTTCTTTTTTGCCTTTACTTTTATTATGTTGTAGAGTATAATTTAGCCATGTGACTTTTGATGTCTCCTCTCAATGCCCTATGCATTAGCTTTTTGACAGTTTGGAGTTTTTTGGGTTTTTTTGTTTTTTTTTTGGGTACTGGGGATTGAACTCCTGTCCTTGTGCTTGCAAGGCAGGCCACCGAACAGCTGAGCTAAATCCTTGGCCCAGTTCGGAGTTTTTTGTGGCATTTTATTTTCTTATATCCTCATGTTTGGTGTTTGTATATGTGCATGTGCTCTGAGACTTTAGAGATTAAAGTGGAAAGACTATGTTGCTAGTATGGAGGTATTTTTAGTTATTATCTTCTTTCCAGTGATGCACTCTGGGCAGAACTAACTATAAGCCTTTGTCTCTGAATATCTGACTGCCTTCATTAATTTGAGGAGGATCATGTGGAGTATTATTGACCAAGCATGTAGTTATCAGGAAAATTAACCATGGTTTTATTGATGACACAAACCAACCAGTTATTGGTAGACGGTAAAAACCAGTTCATAGCAACAACTTTGCCACCCTAGCAATACCAACCAAATCAGCAACAATAATGCAATCAAAGACAAATTGGATATTGGCATGCCATAAAAACCAGTAAAAGGTACCACTGTACCAACCTTTCTTGTTGCAAACCTGTTTCCTTCTTAGCCTAAAGTTAAACTTCTCAATGTTTCTCTGGCTAGCCTGTACCATCTCTGCTACTGTCACTTGTGGCTCTCTCTTCCCTTGTCCTTGTGGTAGGGTGACTCCACAAACCCTGAAGTGTAATTATTCTATGACTCTATCTTTTTTGTTGTTGTTGTTCAGCTTTAATTGAGTTTATTGGTACATTTTAGGGATACAGTACAGTTATATTCATTGCTGGGATCTTGTACCTCTACATGACAAGTCTTGGTTCTCATTTTTCCCCTTACCCCTGCCCTCCCTTCATCCCCTCCTCCCCTCCCCATCTACAAACACTTTATTTCCATCTTTTCATTATCTCACATTTTTTCTTTTCCCTTATTACCCTTCCCCTACCCGTCCCACCTTCCCTACACCTTTAGCTCCTTTCTTCCCATTTCACAATGTCAGTAATCTTATTGGGATCTTCTGTATTATTGCACATTATTCACACCAGAGAAACTATTCGGTATTTACACATGTGTGCCTTATTTATTTCACTTAGGAGTATATCTTCAATATGTCTGTGACTCTATCTTAAACAATTAACCCCTTCTCAAAATGGCTTCTTATTAAATACTCTCAAAATATGGTGGGTAGTGCACTAGATTTCTTCTCTAGCACTAGGCTGCTGTGTGGAATGATTCACTTTTGAAGAAGAACTCCATGCTGTTTTTGCATTTACAGGGACCATGGGCTTTTTGGGGGTAATTGCTTAGCCTGTTGTTTTTTTTCTGGGTTTATATTGTTTAAACAGAGACTTATATCCCTCCCTGGGGTGAGATGATCTTTCCAGACTGCTTCATTCTTTCTCTTCCATTGTGCTCTATTTTTTCAGCTTCTCTGAAGTTTTCAAATTTCCTGTCAGTTATTTCATGATTCCTGAAGATCTACTTCCTTTTTTTTTTCTCCTCTTCACTGAGTTCTATACTTGATCTTAGCCAAAAGGCCGAGAAGAGATCTTCACTGAGTTCTTCTTTTTCTTCCCCAGATTACTCAATTCCAGGTCCCACAGAAGGTGCATTTTGCTGCCAGTCTTTAGTCTGCCATTTTTAATCTTCTTAGATTATTGTTAATTGGTTTTTCTTCTGTTTCAATTTATGCAACTAATGACATTCATATTTTTTCTAAGCAGTGCTTTAGCTGCATACCACAAATACTGTTATCTTCCATTTTCATTTAACAAAAAATATTCCACAATTTTTGCATTATTTGAGCTTGTTTTTAATGCTTATTCACTTTTTCAGAATGTATTTTTGCTTTTTACCAATTTAAAGCCAAATATATATATATATA